CTGTAATATGGAAATAATAATAGTACATGCCTATCTCTTGGATGGAGAGGAAATGATGAATACAAAGCATTTAGCACAGAGCCCGACACAAATTAACTATTCCAAAAGTATTAGTAGTTTATTGAGAAGAGTCTATCAACAGGTTTCCCTCAGTTAACCATTAGAGTGAAACTGTTAGTTGAATAAGAAATGCCCAGCTGAAAAATGATCTGCACGTGGGAGAAAATAATAGGTTTCTCCTTCTACTTTCCTCCCCCACCCAAAAATATTTTTAAATGATTAATTAATAAAAATCTTCTCCTGTTGATTCATTAGATTTCCTGCACTTGTATTAAACCTGAAGTCCTCACCAGGGCCTGCACAGCCAGATGCAATCTGGCCCCTGCTTGCCTCTCATCGTTTTTTTGTGTGTGGCTGGCTGGTAAGGGGATCTGAACCCTTGACCTCGGCGTTATCAGCACCATGCTTCACTGCGTGAGATAGCAGCCAGCCCCTGCCTCTCTTCCCCATGCTTGCAGTACCAGCCCACCAAGCTGTCTTTCCCCACTTCTCCAAGGCCTTGATGTATGCTGTCCTGTACCTGACGGCATCCTTGAGTTCTTGGCTAAAATGTCACCTTCACAGAGAGGCCTTTCCTTATATGATTTAAAGTACTTTCTATCTCATCACTTTGTGACTTAGTCCATTTTGTGCTGCTATAACAAAATATCACCGAACTGGGTAATTTATGAATAACAGACATTTATTCTCTCACAGTTCTGGAGGCTGACAAGTCCAAGATCAAGCCACCAGTAGGTCTGGCTGTGAAGTGAGACCTGCTCTCTGCTTTCAGAGTGGTGCCTTGTTGCTGCATCCTCTGGAAGGGAAGAACACTGTCTTCACGTGGCGGAAGGTAGAAGGGCAAACTAGCTAGCCAAATGCTGCATAAAAACTCTTTTGTATGGGTCTTAATTTCACTCATGAGGGGAGAAGCGTTTCTATTAAAATTAAATTTTCTCTTAAGATTGAGATAAGTGCTTCTAATTTCTTTTAAGAGTGATTACACCTCTTAAAGGCCCCACC